CCACATCAACAGTCCTAGGACATAAGACTTACGCCATCCTCTGCACAAGTAGCTGGTAGAGTTTCTCGTAGGTACAGTTCTGCCGGGGCACTGCCAGGAGGAACGGGTAGCCAAACAGAGGCTGACTAGAGACGGAGTTCTGGTCCGAGTGACGCACGCTGTATCTGAGGGGGGGAACAACATTTGAATCTTTTTAGAAAGGAAGGGTTTTACTGCACTTACAACACAGTTAGGTCACAGAAGTGTAAAAGACTTGAGGTGTTGCTAGAGGACAACATACAAAAAAACATTTTTAAGGGAGGAGAGATAAGGACGATTGATGTCTGACACGAATAGAAGGAACCAACCACATCAGAGCACCCACCAATCACCCACTGAGGCTTCCCCAATGGAGAATAAAACTCTTGCCCTTTTCTCCGGGCGGCCAAGAGCCTACCAACATCACAGACGCCCCCAAGTGGAACAAACATCAAACCACAATATGAGAAATGAGACGAGAAAAGACTTACTTTTTTTCACGCAAGTAGATGGGCAGAATCATGGTGTTGGGGTCTTCTATATTACTGCTGGGAATCTCAAAACTGGGGAAGAAAAAAAAACAAAAACAAAACATGAAGCACAATGTTACCAAATGTCAAGAGGCACCGTTCAGACAAATGATGACTAAGACTAGCTTAACTAATGTATTCTTGGATTTGAGTAAAATGATAAAGGTCAATCAGAGCAGGGATAACGGTAAGATGAAAGTGCTGAGGAAAGGACAAGAAGTATGACTTTTCAGTGACGCCCTCTAGATCTAGAGCAAGAATATCTAACCTCATTGTTCAGGTGGTTAAACTCTCGGACTCGCAACCGTAAGGTCGTGGGTTCGAATCCCGTCAGGGGCCCGACGTTGTGTCCTTGGGAAAGGCACTTTGCACAAATTTTCCTCACTTCACCTAGGTGGAAATGGGTACCCGGCTATAGACAGTGAACAATATTGTCAGTTTGATAGTGTTTGAGCGCGTGAAATCCGCAGCTTGCACTGTATGCTTCCGCGGAAGCCGAAAATGTTTCTGAGTGTTCTCAGCGAGGGTCTGCTGGCGTAATAATAGTTGTACAGCGCATAGAGCATGCTCTTGAGCGTGGATATGCGCTATATAAATGCAATTATTATTAAACTCAAACTACACTTATGGTTGCGGGCCAAACTGGATAAGCATTTACTGAGCAGTAGAAAACTAAACCATTTCTAACCAATAATATGAATTAAAAAGGACAAAAGTTTAAAACGTTTCACAAATCGAGGCGTACAAATCCTCACTCTTACGCTAATTTGCCCGAGCTGGTCGTTTGGCATCTTTTCTGGACGACGAGTTCGTTTACGTTTGGGGTAAGGTTCTGGTTTGTGGAGATTCTCCGAGGACTTATCTATACTTTTCTCGCTGGCCTGATTTAATTGTGCGCTGGGTCAAATGCTGACCAGCTGGCTTCAAATATTAAAAAGTTTTAGTAAGTGTTTTACGGCACTTGCAACACAATAAGGTCATATAAATAAGTGCCGAAGATTAGAGGAGTTACAAGAGATTAACAAACACAAAAAGGAAGGAGGGGAGATAAAGACGATAGATGCTTGATAGGAAAAAAGGAGTAAACCACACCAGAGCACCCGCCAACGCGTCAAGTTTGACACCTGTGATCTAGAGCTTCAGAGGTAACCACGGAAACACAAAACTGCATGGGACAAAGAGGGGGGGGGGACTCACATGAAGATGTCGTCTCTGTCCAAGATGTGGTTCACGCCCTCCTCCATGCTAAAGATCTTGTGGAAGCGGCGGTTGTAGACGTCTGTGACCACCATCTGAGGAGACAGGACGACACCAGTCAGCTAAACGTTTTAGTTAAGTTTCAGTAGAGGTTTTATTTTAGTATGAGTTTTATGGCACCCCGCAACACAATCAGGTCATATAAGTGCCGAAGACTAGATGAGTTACTAGAGAGTAACATACACAAAAAAGGAGGAGAGATAGAGACGATAGATTTTGTATAGGAAAGAAGGAGCAAACCACACCAGAGCACCTGCCAACCACCCACAGCTCAACGTTTTGGGTGGGAGTTGGAGGAAAGAGAAGCTCATGAACACGAGAAAGCTTATTTTTAGAAAAACGAATAAAGCAACAGAGGCTTTTTTGGGTTTGTTTTAATACCAGTTTTCCGGCACTTGCTTGTTTGTTTTGTTGTTTTAGTAGAGGTGTTACGGCGCTCCCAACTGCATAAGGCCATATGAGCGCCAAGGGGTGGGTGTCAACAGAGAAGTCTTTACAGGGAATCAGACTTACTCTATAGTCTAGTAGTAGTAGTAGAGGTTTTTCAGTGCTCGCAACTGCATAAGGAGACTTACTCTGCTCACCTCTCTAGCTTCAATAGCACAAAGTCTGCTTCGACTATCAAGGCACCCCAGTAATAGTGGGTCACAACAGTGAGACAAACATACAACAGAAGTAGAGGAAAATGACGATAGTAAGGATTAGGAAGAAAAAGCAGCAGTTCCCTGTTGCAGTTCAGGCACAGTTATGAGCAGCCCATTTACAATTACAATTCTACAGTACATAAGAACAGGTTAATGTCCCCCCTTTGGGAATGGCCTGAAGACACTTCAGTCAGTAGCATCGCCCCAGGGAGTTCAGAAATTACAACACAATAAGGTCATACAAGTGCCAAAATTAGACGTGTTACAAGAGAGTAACTAACACAAAAAAAAAAGGAAGAGGGATGAGGACAACAGATGTTTGATAGGAAAGACTGAGCAAACCTCATCAGAGCACCTACAAACTGCCAACGGATAAAGCAAGACAATTGTCCCCCACAACTGAAGGAAAGAATAAAAGTAGGACCTGCCAGTGGCATCCTCCAACCACCCACTAAAGCAAGACAGACAGACAGAAACCACAGAAAGAAAGCACAGAAAGAGAACCTACCAGAAACACCCTAAAACTATCTGTATTGACTGATCAACATCACAGTTTTGGCAAGAGTTTTAAGGCACTTGAAACACAAATAGGTCATATACGTGCCGAAGATTAGAGAAGTTACAAGAGAGTAACATACACAAAAAAAAGGAGAGATAAAGACGATAAATGTTTGACAGGAAAGAAGAAGCAAACCACTCCAGAGCACCCTCCAACCACCCACAGACAGTGCAGCAGCAGCAACAACAACAACAACAACTATGAACTTACCCTTTCTGATGGAACAGTGACGTAGGCCGACAAGGCCTTGCACAGGTCGCGGATGCTGCCAACGTTAGGAACTGTCAACTTGAGCTGCAACAACACACAACACACAGAAACAGGCATGAGAGACACACTCGTTTGTGAGAGTAGAAAGACGCACATCGACACGCCAACAGTCAATTTGTCTGCTCATCTGAATAAAGAGAAGCTTATCAAAATAATAACAGACGAGTGGAAAAGCAAGAAAAATACAGAGTTTGCTTGTTTGAGTAGAGCACATCGACTCAGTTAGTTTTAGTAGAGATTTTACGGCGCTCGCAACTGCATAAGGTCATATGAGTGTCAAGGGGTGGATTTCAACAGAGAAGTCCATACAAGGAATCAGGCTTACTCTATTCACCTCTCTTGCTTCAACAGCACAAAGTCTGCTTCGACTATCAAGGCACCCTGGAAATAGCGGGTCACAAGAATGAGACAAACATACACAACCACTCACACACACTCACCTGCATCGGTTTCATACCCAACCACTCACCTGCATAGGTTTCCTACACAACCATTCACATACACAACTACTCACACACACACATAACCACTCACTCACACACACACACACTCACCTGCATAGGTTTCCTACACAACCACTCACACACACACACATACACAATCACTCACTCACACACACACACACTCACCTGCATAGGTTTCCTCCACAACCACACTCACACACACACTCACCTGCATAGGTTTCATGTCTGCGGGCAGCGGCACCCAGATGACCTCCATCAGCCGCTCCTTCTTGACGGGCAGGGGCAGGGAGAGGTAGCAGAAGGGGTCAAAGGTGACGGAGATCTTCTGGCAGTCGGGACACTTGACGGTGGACTTGAGCAGCCCGTGGAAGATGTCCACGATGATGGAGTCGTTGCGCTTTTTGTAGTTGTCCCACGCCTCTTTGGCCACCACCTGGGAGGGGGGGGGGGAGAGAACAATGAAACAATTTGTGTTTGTTTAGTTAGTTTAAGTAGAGGTTTTACAGCATGCGCTCACAACTGTATAAAGTCATATGAGCGCCAGAAGATTAAAGGTGTTACAAGAGAGTAACAAACATAAAAAAGAAGAAGGGGAGATAGTTTTAGTAGAGGTTTTACGGCACTCGCAACAGCATAAGGTCATATGAGCGCCAGAAGATTAAAGGTGTTACAAGAGAGTAACAAACATAAAAAAGAAGAAGGGGAGATAAGGACGATAAATGTTTGATAGGTAAGTAGAAGCAAACTACACCAGAGCACCCGCCAACCACCCACAGTGTTTGTTCGAACAAAGAGAAGGGAATGGCCTAAAGACACAACAGTCAGTGGCACTGCCCCGGGGGGTTTTGTTAGAGTAAAGAGAAGCATTTTAACAGAAAAATGGCCATTAACCCTATCCGTAGGTCATGTTTTACTATTGTATCCATACAACGTGGGAAACTCTGTGTCCCCACTTTCCAAACAGGAAATTTACTTGTTAATCCGATTCGTACGCTTTGCATAGCAGTCCGTCAAAATGATTTTTTTGAGAAATACTGAATGTTTCAAAGAGATCTTCGCACTAGAAATATTCTAAAATGTGAAGAACACAACCCCGGGGTACAAATACGGTACGGATAGGGTTAAGAGCTGGGGAAAAGATGGATAGAACAAAAACTGGAGAGGGAAAGTTTAGTTTTAGTTAGTGTTTTATACAGCACTTGCAACACAATAAGGTCATATAAGTGCCGAAGATTAGAGGTGTTACAAGAGAGTAACAAACACAAAAGAGGAAGAGGGGAGAGAATGAGATAAATAGGAGGGGTCAAAGAAGCCTGGAGGAGGGGGAGGAAAGAAAGCATTTTTGGGCTTGCTCGGGAAGACAGAAGCAAGCTGACGCAATAATGGTCATTTCTCCACTCTGGAAGCAACTTCATGCTTCCTGCTTGCAATGGAAAACAACCTAACTGCTACACCACAGATGCTGAAAGTGAAGAAGAGAGGACAAAAAAAGAGAGAGGGGGGGGAGAGAGAGGGGGAGAGAGAGGGAGAGAGAGAGAGAGAGAGAGAGAGAGAGAGAGAGAGAGAGAGAGAGAGAGAGAGAGAGAGACAGACAGACAGACAGACAGACAGACAGACAGACAGAAGGACAGAGAGAGACAGAGAGAGAGAGGAGAGAGAGAGAAGTACAAAGCAGCTCACCTTGTCGGGCCGTCCCCCGGAGTCTTTGAGCTCTATGTAAGGTTTCTGCCGTATGCAGAGAGAGATAGAGACAGACAGACAGACAGACAGACAGACAGACAGACAGACAGAGAGACAGACAGACAGACAGACAGACAGACAGAGAGCAGTAAAAAAACAGCTCACCTTGTCGGGTCGCCCCCCGGAGTCCTTGAGCTCTATGTAGGGTTTCTGCCGTATGCGGTTGAGATCCTCATGGAGCCCGTCCAACAGGAAGGCCAGGAGCTCCTGAGAGTCTTGTTGCTGGTAGCCCGAGAACTGGGGCGCGAACCGGCCCACCGCCACCTGCACGAGACCAGACCGTGGTTGGTTTGTTTTGTTTTAGTAAGGTTTTTTTCTTTTGCATGAGTTTTTTTTTGGTTGTTTTAGTGCGTTTCTATTCATTTTAATAAGAATTTTTTTTGGGTGTTAGTAAAGTTTTCTTTTTGTTTTAGTAACGTTCTTTTTTTTGTTAGTAAGAGTTTTAACGCACTTGCAACACAATAAGGTAATATCAAAGCCGAAGACTAGAGGTGTTACAAGAGAGTAACATACCCGAAAAAGGACGGCGACGGATGTTTGATAGGAAAGACAAAGCAGACCACACCAGAGCACCCACCAACCACCCAGTTACGGCGCTTGCAACTGCATAAGGTCATGGGAGCGCCAAGGGGTGGATGTCAACAGAGAAGTCCAAACGGGGAATCAGGCTTACTCTGCTCACCTCTCTAGCCTCAAAAGCACAAATTCTGCTTCGGCTATCAAGGCACCCCGGAAATAGCATTTCATAAGAGAGTGACAAACATACAAAAGAAGTAGATGATAAATCATGATAGTAAGGATGAGGAAAGAAAAAGCAGCAGTTCCCCCTATGTTGTTTCAGCACAGTATGAGCATGACATTGATAAATCAACCCATTTACAATTCTACTGTACATAAGAAGATGTTTGTATCCCCTCCTTTGGGAATGGCCTAAAGACACTTCAGTCAGTGGCATTGCCCGGGGGGGGGGGGGGGCGCAAAGGTGTTTTTATCAGCTACAGGCAGAGCGGGAAACAAAGAAGCCACCCACCTTAAAGTTCCTAGGCACTGTGTAGGCCCTGAGGCCCGACCAGACGTCTCGCACCAGCTCGTTGTAAGAGATGGCGATCTCCCCGCGCATGCCCAGCGGGTTCTCCTTGTTCAGCTCCTTCTCCCACCGGTTGCCCATCATGTACTCCGTCAGCTGGGGCACGTTGCTCATGCACTGGAGGGTGGTGGAGGGGGGGGGGGGGGGGGGGGAAGAAGGACAACTCACAATATATAATATTATCATCAGGGTAGTTCCGCAAGTGCTTAAATAAATTTTGCTTGTTTGTTTGTTGTTGGGTTTTTTTAGGGGGGGGGGGATGTTTGTATTTAATTTATAACATTAGCGAAACAGAGAGCGCCCAAAAGCTCTCGTTATTTTTTCATTAAAAATTATGAGGGAACAACGAAACAATATTGAGTTTAGTTTTAGTAAGTATTTCATGGCACTTGCAACACAATAAGGTCATATAAGTGCCAAAGAACAGAGGTGTTACAAGATGGTAGCATACTCAAAAAAAGAAGGAGGAGAGAGATAAGGACGAGAGATGTTTGATAGGAAAGAAAGAGCAAGCTACACCAGAGCACCCGTCAACCATGCACATGGTGGCGGAAAGACAAGTCACAAACGTATTATCATTAGCGTAGTTCCACCAGCGTTTAAGGAAATTTTTTTTTGGGGGCGTGTAAGTTTTTTAATCATTAGCAAAACAGAGCGCGCCCAAAGCAAAACAATATCTAAATCTTGAGCTCGTTACTTTTTATTTAAAACTGAGAGGAAACAACGAAAAAATATTGAAAGATGCCCTTAGCCATCTTTATTCGAATAACAACTTCATCTGGAAAACTGAGAAACTGATTTAGATGATTGCAGGGAAAAAAACCTCAAAACCCTAAAATAGCACACCAAAAAAAACAAAATAAAAAAAAAAAAAAAACCCAAACCAAGGCTGCCCACCCACCTGTAAGGCAGAGTTCATGAAGCAGGTGTTGCCCAGGTTGGCCAGGCCACACAGTCCCGGCTTGTTGGAGCCCCCGCGGTCGTAGCCGTTGCTGCTGTAGTAGCTGCTGCTGCCGAAACCACCACCGCCACCACCCCCGCCGCTGCTGCTGCCCCCACTGTAGCTGCTGCTGCTGCTCTGGCTGAGCGAGTCGTAGTGGGAGGTGGAGGAGCCGCTGGCACCGCTGTAGCCCGAGCTTCTGTAAGAGCCAATCAGAGAGAGAGAGGGGGGAGGAGTTAGTCAATTCAGAGCCAATCAGAGAGAGAGGGGGGGTGGAGTTAGTCAAGTCAGAGCCAATGAGAGAGAGAGACGGGGGAGGAGTTAGTGAAGTCGGAGCCAATCAGAGAGAGAGAGACGGGGGAGGAGTCAGTCAAGTCGGAACCAATCAGAGAGAGAGGGGGAGGAGTTAGTCAAGTCAGAGCCAATCAGAGAGAGAGAAGGGGGAGGAGTTAGTCAAGTTGGAGCCAATCAGAGAGATGAGGGAGGAGTCCGTCAAGTCAGAGCCAATCAGAGAGAGAGGGGGGAGGAGTTAGTGTAAGTCACTAGCAGTCTTAAGGCTACTTGCACTCAAGACTCGCTCAAAGGCATACCAAAAAACAAAAAAAAACAAAAAACAAAAAAACCAGTGCAAAAATAATGCCAACACACCCATCCACACACACAGACATGCACACGAGGACTTGAACGTGCCCTGTGAAGCCCAGCTGCACTATAACACAACATGACATACAGTACACGTTCATTATGAAACAGCAACTTATAGAAGACACAATACACAACATTTGTTTGACTGAGAAGCATATCGACACAAATTATTAATTTCGTAAAAAACACACACAGGAAAAAAAAACCCAAAAGAAACCAAACTATTTCTTGTATTTCGAATACGACAGTGTTGAATATAAAAGTGCAATTGGAAAAATACAGGCAAACTCGGCCGGTGTTCTTTGGTACACAAGGTGAGGAGGAATAAAAAGTATCTGAGAGAGAAAAAAACTTTATAGTGAAAGTATTAAAACAGTGGAATGCAGCCACAGTGCAGAGCAATATTTAACATTTAAAAAACAAATCAAAATATGTTTAGGAAAGCAAGCTGAAACCAAAATCAAAACATGCATGTCAATGTTGCCAACTCCTTTGTGATGTACAAGTTTCTTCAACTTTTACTGGACCCAAATCTTGCTAGACAGAACAGTGCAGTATCAGCCATTTTAAAATTACAGATTTTCAAGATACATACATTTTTTTTATCACAGATTTCAAATCTTTCATCAGTTTTCCAGAAAAATTCTGTCAAAAGCTATTGTTGAGCAGTGATAAAATTCTGTATGGTGCTTATTTTAAGCTACACACGGTTGCCAAATTCAGACAAATTTAGGACATACATTGTACAGGACAGCATCTTGGCTAATGATGTTGGACGTAGGGAGTGCAGAAGTTGTCTAAAATGGGTTGAGATAAGATTTTAGTTTTAGTTTTAGTAGAGGTTTTACGGCACTCGCAACTGCATAAGGCCATATGAGCGCCAGAAGATTAAAGGTGTTACAACAGAGTAACAAACATAAAAAAGAAGGGGAGATAACGACGATAGATGTTTGATAGGAAAGAAGAAGCAAACCACACCAGAGCACCCGCCAACCGCCCACTGAGATAAGATTACAATCAGGATTAACTTGAATTTACTCCATTAAAAACTTGTCTGCTCATTCAAGTAAGGAAAACTACATTGACTCGACGCAATGACGGTCACGTAGAGCACAGAAAACAAAAAATACCGAAACAACAGAGGGGAAAAAAAAGGAGAAAGACCTACTAGTGGCACTCTCCAACCACCAGATACCCCACGAAGAAATCGTAATCTAACAAAATTACGACATTCTCGTTAAGCCGGTGTCGCCCATGAACAAAAACCCAAACAAAAACCACCAAGAAAAACACCCAAAGTTGGAATCATGCTTTAAAACAGAAGGAAATATTCCCTATTAGACGGTGACACAGAAGGTAAACGAGCAACACTTAAAGTTTTAGTGCAAGATTAGCAGCACTTACAACACAATTAGGTCATATAAATGCTGAAGATTAATAAAAGTGTTACTTGAGAGTAACATACAATGAAAGGAAGGAGGAGTATTGATAAGGACGACAGATGTTTCATAGGAAAGAAGGAGCAAACTATACCAGAGCACCCGTCAACCACCCACACACAGACAGAAAGTTACTGAATTATGAGTGAATAGTAACACAGTGCACAATGATTCATCTGAGATTCTGGTGAGGAGGTGAGGGGAAAAAATGTTTTTTTTTAAAGTTTTAGTAAGAGTTCTACGGCACTTGCAACACAATAAGGTCATATAAGTGCTGAAGATTAGAGGTGTGACAAGAGAGTAACAAACACAAAATAGAAGGAGGGGAGAAAAGGACGAAAGATGTTTGACAGGAAAGAAGGAGCAAACCACACCAGAGCACCCGCCAACCACCCCGCAAAAATGTTTTTAACGTGTGTAAACTCATTAGAAAAATTCACAAAGTATCAGTTTATTCTTTTCAAGATCTAAATGGCACGGAGTACGTAAAACAACTTCCTGCACACTTTGAACATTCATTTTGACACCTAGAAGCAACGAGACAAAGAAGACGACATTCAGGTCCGGCGAGTCAATTTCTAAAATTAGCAACGAAGACAAAAATGAATTAACAACCTTCAGCAGTGAGTTTAACAAAACTGTTTCCCAGCCCTCTGTCTAAACATTGAACATACTGAACATGAAAACATTGGGTACATTAGATACCATTTGGTGAATCAATATGTAAGGTACTCTTTGATTAACCAGGATCTCTGTGTTGAGCCAAAATAAAAGCTTCTCTTTGACGAAACAAAATAGAAGGTTCCCTTTGGTGAAACAAAATAGAAGGTTCCCTTTGGTGAAACAAAATAGAAGGTTCCCTTTGGTGAAACAAAATAAAAAAGGTACACTCTGGCTCCCACCTACAGTAGGCACACATCAGACTTTGACAGAAGCAAATACTGTACATATATAACGTCACTTTGACAGAAGCAGCTACTGTACATATATAACGTCACTTTGACAGAAGCAGCCACAGTACATATAAGTAACTTTGACAGAGGCCACTACTGTATATACATCACTTTGGCAAAAGCACCTACTGTACATGTCTTTTTGACAGAAGCAACTACAGTACATATGTCACTTTGGCAGAAACAACTACTGTACATATTGTGCATATATGTCACTTTGACAGAAGCAACTACAGTACATACTGCACATATATGTCACTTTGGCAAAAGCAGCTACTGTACATATGTCACTTTGGCAGAAGCAGCTACAGTACAAACTGTATATATACGTCATTTTGGCAGAAGCAGCTACTGTACATACTGTACATATATGTCACTTTGGCAGAAACAGCTACTGTACATATGTCACTTTGACAGAAACAGCTACTGTACATAAATAATGTCACTTTGACAGAAGCAGCTACTGTACATAAATAATGTCACTTTGACAGAAGCAGCTACTGTACATATATAGGTCACACCTTCATAGAAGCAACTTCTGTGCATATGTCTGAACTTCACAGAAGCACATACATACATCACACCTTCTCAGAAACCTAAACCACACATACGACTTACCATCACAGAAGAAACGCTCACACACACAACTCACCCACAGGGTTCCTGCCATGAACTCCTTACCAAATTCAAGGAGATTTCAAGGGGGAATTTTTAAAATTCAATGACATTTGGTCAATAAATTCATGCCGTTTTCGACGGCGCACTCGCACCCCCCCCCCCCCCCCCAAAGCTAATTTCCGATAGGCATACATTTGTCGAAAGGAATCTTAGTTTCAATTGTCTGACCAAATTTTTTTCATGTTCAATATGGCAAAATTCAAGGAGGTTGCTCAAATTCAAGGAGTTTTCAAGGAGACTGTTCCTTGAATGCAAAGCCAAGGAGCTTTCAAGGGCTCTGTGAATTCAAGGAGGCCGCAGGAACCCTGCACACAGCAACGGGACCCACACTACACACAAGACAACCCTGCACACAGCAACGGGACCCACACGACACATAAGACAACCCTGCACACAGCAACGGGACCCACACGACACATAAGACAACCCTGCACACAGCAACGGGACCCACACGACACATAAGACAACCCTGCACACAGCAACGGGACCCACACACTACACACAACACGTTGGCAGAGGCTACACGGCGTGCAATGACAAAGAAGAAGCGGTTACAGTTACCTGGTAGAAGGGTAGGAGGAGGGGCTGTAAGAGCTAGCACTGCAAAAAGGGCAAACACAAACCGGGGTCACAAACACTGTCAGTTTTTTCTATGGAAGTGTCTACGTACTCCCCGATCGGGGTCTACGTAGTCATGGTGTCTAGGTGGACCCCAAAAATATTGAATTGTGATTGGCTCGCTGAGCGAGCGGTAGTTTACATTGGTTACAATGCAAGGCTACTGATCATCTCAGGCGGTGTGTCGATCTAGTGTTACTATAATTTATTTATTTTTAGCCCAGAGAGAGAGTATTTAATGAATAAACGTATCTCTAGATCTAGAATCTAAATCTAGACCGAACTGCACACTCTTGGCTGAATGCACATCAAAATCTAGATCTAGATCTAGATACGTTTATTCATTAAATACTCTCTCTCTCTCTCTCTCTCTAGGCTAAAATAAATTAACTATAGTAACACAAGATAAATCCAATCACTACCCGAGATGATCAGTAAGTAGGCCTAGCAGCCCTGCATTGTAACCAATGTAAACTACCTCTCGCTCAGCGAGCCAATCACAATCCAACATTTTTAGGGTCCACCTTGACACCATGACTACGTAGACCCCAATCGGGGAGTACGTAGACACTTTCTTTTTTTATTGATTGAGTAGGTGTTTTACGGCACTATCCACTCAACTTTGGTCATGTAAGTGCCCCACACACAGTCAGTGCTAGAGGTCATAGGTACTCTACAAGACTTGCCCAAGGTTGTGGGGGAGAGAGAGGAACGGGTGGTCAACTACACCCACCCCCACCCCCCTCCCCTTTTTTTTTCTTGTCTTGCGTCCCCTTTTCCGGGTGCCATGTTTATGATCTTATTAACATTAATTAAACAATCATTAACTAGGAGATTGTGAGAAAGTTCAATGTAAACGTCAGCAGGAAAATGGTAACGTAAAGTAAAATCTTGACTTTCAGAAATAACACAATACAATTTGTCAAATTAAAAGGATTATCAGTACTGCTGTAAGCTGACAAAATGCCTTTTTTTTTCATTTTGGCGCCTAAATTTTTTATTTGCGAAATCAAAAGTCTGCTTACTTGAGTAAACAGATCAAAGTGAAACTGACCAGTTTTTCAAAAAATTCGAATTCAAATTTCGGAATCACTCTATTTTTCAATGGTTACGCTGACAAAAAAAAACTAAAACTCTTTTTCTCGAAGCTGCTCTGAAGAAAAAAAATGCGTTTTGTCAGCTTACAAAAGTGCTCACCCAACGTGTATCTCCCCCCCACCCCCCCCCCACCCCCCATCTTTCTTTTTTTGTTTTTTTGGGGGGGGGTTTTGTTTGCTAGTCAGAGAGGTGGTTGCCAGTGCCATCACACGTCAGCATGTCAGTCAGGGCTTGCACAAAACACTCGTGGGTGAATGTGCAAAACAAAACAAAAACATGAGCCGGAGGAAAGTGACCTCGCAATGCATCATACAAAATTAAATAAAGTCTCTCTCACTGCCAAATTCATCAAGCACACACAACGGAGTACAATACTCAAGACTTGTGCACACGGCAGAAATAAATTTTGCAAAGTAAAAGAAATTTTTTTTTTTCAAAAACACATCTTGGACCTCCTAATCACTTGCCATTCAACAATTAATCTTATGTTCTTACTTGCAAACCGAGGTGTGTGCATTAAAAAAATTATCTCATGTTCTTATTTATAAACCGATTCAACGTGCGTGTGTTAAAAAAAATAATCTCACGATCTTATTGGGAGGCGTGCGTGCATGTGTGTGTGTCTGTGTGCGTGTTTGTCTGTCACAAAATCTCTTCCAACATCTCACAATGCAACTTGAGTTCAAAATACAACAGAAAGCGTAACAGACAGACAGACAGACAACTAACCAACCCCCCCCCCCCCACCCCTCCAAACTTCGAACTTTTGATTCACAAAGGAACAAGAACGAGAGACCAATGTCAAATACCTTTTGGCTTGTCTTGGCCAGGTGCCGTCCTCGTTCTGCACCTCAATGACGATCACCTGAAACAGGAGAATAAGTTGAATATAAAAATTTATTTAGTTTTAGTAGAGGTTTTACGGCGCTCGCAACTGCAAAAGGTCATATGAGCGCCATAAAAATTTAAGAAATTGCAACGGTTTCACCCTCCACATCAACTCAATGTAGATCATACAGGAGGTGGTGGGTTACTATAAGAGAGGGGGCGGGGGGAGAGAGAGAGAGAGAGAGAGAGAGGGGGAGAGAGAAGGGGAGAGGGAGAGGGAGAGGGAGAGGGAGAGGAGGCAGGTGAAAGAGAGAGAGAGAGAGAGAGAGAGAGAGAGAGAGAGAGAGAGAGAGAGAGAGAGAGAGAGAGAGAGAGAGAGAGAGAGAGAAAGAGAGAGAGAGAGAGAGAGAGAGAGAGAGAAAGAGAGAGAGAGAGAGAGAGAGAGAGAGAGAGAGAGAGGGAGAGGGAGAGAAAGAGAGATGTATTATTTTAACTATTGATGTCGAGCTTATTAATCTGGCGTGGGGAAAACCCAAAAACATAACAAAAATAACCCAAAAAATGCCCCCCAACCCAAATACCCCCAGTACTTGCCTGTCCCTGGTATAGTCCGGCGTCCTGGAGAGTGACGTCTTTCTTGCTGAGGTGCTCGTACGTGTTGCTCATGTAACGGTTCCACAGACGAACCTCTTTGTTGTCCGCGATGCTGAACAGACGACGCATCTCCTCCGCGATCGTTCCTGGAAGGTAACAGGGACAATTTTTTGTTAATAAAAAAAAAATTACATACCCAGATAAAAAATAACAAATACTGTAAATGTCATAACTTAGTATTTTAAATTGCAAGTGTTTTAACTTCTTTTATCCCCCCCCCCCCCACCCACCCACAAACACACACACACACAAATAATCAGTAAATGACAATTAAACAGAAATTCATCAGTCAAGAATAATAAAAATGGAAATATTAGTCTCAGTTAATATAATAGAAACTGGTTTACAATAATCAAACAGAAACATCAGTCAACGATAATACAACAGAAATAGAGGCATCCATCAGTCAACGATAATACAACAGAAACATCTGTCAATAACAACAACAAAACAGACGCACCATCACCTGTCTACGATAATGAAACAGAAACATCTGCCAATAACAACAACAAAACAGACGCACCATCACCTGTCCACGATAATGAAACAGAAACATCTCCGTAAAAAAACCAACCACCATCTGTCCACGATAATGAAACAGAAACACCAGTCAACGATAAAACAAAAATATAAAGCATCCATCAGTCAACAATAACAACAAAACACAACCACCACCATCTGTACAAAATAATGAAACAGAAACATCTATCAACAACAAAAGAGAAGCAGTGGGCGTCCAGCGACTGACCGATGGTATCAGCGCGGCTGAAGGCGTGAGTGACCACAGTGGTGGTGTCAGAGTTCTCGCACAGCTTCAGCTCCATCAGGTACACCTCCACCTTGCAGTGCTTCACGTACATGCCTTGCTCGATCACGCGACGCACGATGGGATCCTGGACAACAAGAGGTTTCGTTTTAGTAAGAGTCTTACGGCACTTGCAACACAATAAGGTCATATAAGTGGAGAAGATTAGAGGTGTTACAAGAGAGTTTTTTATTATTATAGTAGAGGGTTTTACGGCGCTCGCAACTGCATAGGGTCATATGAGCGCCAAGGGGTGAATGTCAACAGAGAAGTCCTTACAGGGAATCAGACTTACTCTGCTCACCTCTTTAGCCTCAACAGCACAAAGTCTGATTCGACTATCAAGGCACCCCGGAAATAGCAGTTCACAAGAATGTGACAAACATACAAAAGAAGTAGAAGAAAAATGACGATAGTAAGGATGAGGAAAGAAAAAGCAGCGGTTCCCCCATGTTGTTCCGGCACAGTATGAGCATGTCATTGATAAATCAGCCCATTTACAATTCTACTGTGCATAAGAACATATTAATGTCCCTCCTTTGGGTATGGTCTAAACACAACTTCAGTCAGTATAGCACTGCCCTGGAGGGGCAAAGAGGAAGACGAGAAGAGTGTGGACCCACCTGTCCCTGAGCCACGCCGTACCACGAGGCCAGCTTCTTGTAGGCCTCCTCCGGCACCAGCACATAGTCAAGGTCGTCCACCAGGTGCTCCTTCAGGCTCTTGTTCTCTGCGCACAACACAGGCAAACATCGCGTTAAGTTTTAGTTTTTGCAAAAGTTTTACGGCACTTGCAACACAATAAGGCCATATAAGTGCCGAAGATTAGTGGTGTTACAAGAGAGTAACATACACAAAAAAGAAGGAGGGGAGATAAGGACGATAATATTTGATAGAAAAGAAGGAGCAAACCACACCAGTGCACCCGCCAACCACTCACAACACTGTTTAAGTTTAGCTAGTTTGACAGTTTGCTACCTCAGAATTACAAAGTCATATCTGATGTTTTTGGCCATTTTCAGTTACTAAGACCAAAAGGTCAGAAACCAAATGTTCTATCTGCACTATCAAAATTGTAAGACTATTCGGAGTCATTATCAAGATATCCAAAGAATTGCAATTCGAAAAAGCTTCACATCTTGTGAAACTCAAAACCTTGGACGTCAAATTTCTCAGAACTAGATATAACAAAAAGGGTTTTGATATGAGGCTTCACGAATAAGAAATGCTGAAGTCAAGAGAGAAGCTTGCAAGCAGGGAAAATAAACAAGTGGAAATGAAGCTATTTAATGCTCAAAATTTGGGTAACTTTTCTCTACCACAACCTGTCTCCTTGGCCATGGCAACGGTCCTAATTCATCTTGACTGTTATTCCTTCTATTTCGTTAAACAAAGTCTCCTTAACAGATGGGTTACCAGACATTAACAGACAAACTATTACAATCATAACTATTATTAAGAGTTCTGCCGGACTTACAGCACAAATAGTTCCCATAACAGCCAAAGATTAGAGCCCCAGGTTTTACAAGAGAGTACCATACAAAAATTTTTTTAAGGAGAAATAAGGATGATAGATGTTTGATGGGAAAGAAAGAGCCAACCACACCAGAGTGCCTACCGACCAGCTACAAGAAAAGCAAGCCAGACAGACAAACTGCGCACAAAAAGAAAAGTACGACCGACCAGTCCAACCATGTGTCCCTCCAACTCATACCAACACACAAAAACAAAATATTGTTGACGTAATTACACGCACACATCTAATCAATAATTCTATCATAGTAACTGTGACAAAGAGGGGCAGACAGCCACAGAATATCCATTTACGACATCCAGAAACCAAGCCTAGGGGAACTCAGGCAAAGAAAAGAAATATGGAACGCACCCAATGAATTAACGCCTCTCTACAACTAAACGGACCGAATGTACACAGCTGCATGCGACAGCCTCAGCCCCTCCCCCCACCCGACCCCAAATGCGTCACTTCCTTCTGACAACATCCCGACTCACCCTTGAGCAGAGAGCAGTTGTCGATGGGGCCAGGGTGCGCAGCCTGCTCCCCGATGTTGTATGAGTCCCAGTGGTCGTAGCCCACGTACTTCTTCCATTGCTTGAACCACCTCACGTCGATTAAGTACCTGGCACAAGGACAAACATACATGGGTTAGATTTTTTGTTTTTGTAGCGGTTTTACGACGTTCGCAACTGCATGGTCATATGAGCGCCAAGGGGTGGATGTCAACAGAGAAGTCCTTACGGGGAATCAGACTTACTCTGCTCACCTCTCTAGCTTCAACAGCACAAAGTCAGCTTTGATTATCAAGGCACCCCGGAAATAGCGGGTCACAAGAGTGTAACAAACATACAAAAGAAGTAGAGGGAAAATGACGATAGTAAGGATTAGGAAAGCAAAAGCAGCAGTTGCCTTTTGCAGTTCCGGCACAGTTATGAGCATGACATCGTTGAATCAGCCCAGTCACAATTCTACTGTGCATAAGAACAGGTTAATGTCCCCCTCCCCCTTTGGGAATGGCCTAAAGACACTTCAGTCAGTAGCATCGCCCCGGGAAGTATACATTAGTTAGAAAGAAGGCCATCAGGATAGATGTACTGTACAACCAAAAGGTTTTCATTTCAATTCGGACTCTTTGCTTCCTCCCAGCAACTCAAAACACCACAATGTGTACAGTAATTATATGGCCAGGTGCTGACTGAGACTGAATTCACCTTGTATGGCACAGCACAAACACGTTCTGCAGGACAGACATTTCGACCATTTGGAGTTTACATTTTAGTATGAGTTTTACAGCACTTGCGACACGAATAGGTCAATATAAGTGTCCAAGATTAGAAGCGTGAATATAGAAAAAGGAGGAAAACCTCTTCCGTATGCACAAGACTGATAAATTAGCCCAACACAACAAAGAGACACATAAAGCATAAAATCAAATACGTACTATAATTATACTATAACTTCAGCACTTGTGAATGGCTTGAAAGATAAAAGATTTAAACACATCCCTGATCATGAACAAAGACAATTGAAGAGAAAACGGCAAACAAACAAGGAAAAACACAGAAAGAAAATATCCATCTCTCAGTGAACAAAAAGATACAGAACTGCCAAGCAAAAACACACAAAAACGCAAGCATACACATACCAACATATATTAAAAGACAAAGCACAGAGAAATATTTCTTTTTTTTTTCGTCAGAGTTTTACGGCACTTGCAACACAATACGGTCATTAAGTGCTGAAGAATAGAGGTGTTACAAGAGAGTAACAAACATAAAAAAGGAGGAGAGACAAAGATGATAGTCGTTTGACAAGAAAGAAGGAGCAAACCACACTAGAGTACCTGCCAACCACCCACGAAATATTTCTAAATACACAAACACATCAGTGAACATCATTAAAAATAGAAATATAGCAGAAGACAAAGACAAAAAGAAATGGGGTAAAAAACACACAAACTCAAACACATCAATGAAACACTCAGAAGGCAGAAAGACAAAAAAAAGTACAAAATAACAAACACTCAAAACACATCAGTGAACATAAACATATTTGCAGAAAATAAAAATAAGATAAGACAGGACACATGCATGCACTCTTGAAGTTGTTAAAGTTAAAGACCCACTTATCAGACAGTGTTGCACTACTGGGCATAAAAAATCTACACACACAGAAAGGAAGAAGAAAAGTAAGTAAACCCAAATATAGGTCACAGCAGCAGAAGGGGCAAGAAAGCTCAGACAGCCACACACAGAGAGGGGGGAGTGCACAGGTCTTTACGGCCATCTCCATGGCAGCTCCGACTGACAGAACGAGTTGGACAAGATCCCATCCCAACACACACACACACAACCTTTGCCTACTTATAGATTTCATTTGTGCAAGGCCGACAAATGTACCAAAGAAATGTTTATTTCAAAGCACTTTATTTACAAGACTGAGAAAAAGATTTGACTTTTTGTTTGTTTTGTTTTAGTAGAGGTTTTACGGCGCTCGCAACTGCATACGGTCATATGAGCGCCAGAAGATTAGAGGTGTTACAAGAGAGTAACAAACATAAAAAAGAAGGAGGGGAGATAAGGACGATAGATGTTAGATAGGAAAGAAGAAACAAACCACACCAGAGCACCGGCCAATCTATCCTCATTATTTATTCTCTCTATTGTTTGTCCCATAATCCACGATAATATGGAAGGCATTCCATGGGAACCCTGTGTTTCAGTCAACAGAGATCCCATATCTTATTTCTACGCTTGATGATTATAGTTTTTAGTTTTAGTAAGAGTTTTACGGCACTTGCAACACGATATCAATAAGGTCATATGATATGAGTGCCGAAGATTACAGGTGTTACAAGAGAGTAACATAAAGAAAAAAGAAGGAGGGGAGGTAAAGACGATAGATGTTTGATAGGAAAGAAGAAGCAAACAACACCAGAGCGCCCGCCAACCACCCACACACATAGGTCCTATGTCCTATTCCTACACTTGATGATTATAGTGTGAGCTGCCTTCTCACTCTTGCCATTCTTTATCACACTGGAACATATTACGGAAAGTATTCTGTGAGCAGGTTATGTCACTCAGGGGGTCCAGTTTTCCCCAACTTGATCAGTGACTGCTGCCTCCACACTCTCTTCAGTCTTTGTCTTGCTAAACATAATAATATAGGCGCGAAAGGCATTCCATGAACAGATATCTAACCATCACCATTGGTATCCAGTTCCTGACACTTGATCAGTGATGTCTGCCCTCTCACAGTCCCCATTCTTTCTCTTCTCAACAGAACACACACATGGAGGACACAAAACACAACCACAGATCAACTACAAAATGAACTGAGGACTTTTTCCACAACGGGCATACTTGGGTACTCCATTTTTCTCAAGTTTACACAGACACCCCAGTTTAAAAAGTAAACAAACTCCACTATTTCCAACATGAGCCCCCCCCCCCCCCCCCCCCCCCCCAGCCAGCCACCTAGGCACTGTTTCCTCACAACACATTACTTGTTTTACCGCACTACTCAAATTACTGGACTACATTTTATGCTCTGTGGTGACAGCACTTTGCCCTATTTAGGCTTTCCAGAAAATAATGGCCGCATATATGATATTATATTGACAAGGAAAAAATCGATACGATGAGTATAGAATGACCCATGCCAGACATCCCAGTAGCTGACAGTCAAGGTTCCAATAAACTGGATAAGTGGAAATACGTTTAAAAAGCCATTACAACAATAATCCAATTTGGATTTTGATATCGCACCATTAACAGAACATAAATCTAGAGGAATAATGAATGCATACTTGACGATACAGTTACCCAGCGTGCATACCCTAATTTTTCTCCAATTTCACGTTCAAATGTCGAATGTCAAAAACCCCGGAACACCAAGGTTATGACATTCGAATAGATCAAAAAGTTCTATCACCGTGGTCTTTATCATGTTCCTGTATGATTATAAAATATTGCACTGACAATTTTTTTAGATCTAGACAAATATTTCTTTTTTGTCTTTTTGAAAGGGTTTTTCTTCCTGAAATAACAAGCCAATTTACTTGATCAACGCACAGAATTTCCAACCGCAGCAACAGTCTAAAGATGGAAAGAATGAGTGAAAGAAAGAAAGGAGGAACTGCAAAGTTCGCTGCAATGGCTAGTCAGTTTTGACCAACTTGTGGGTAAAAATGTATCGCTAACAAACCCGCAATGAATGTAGAGGGATAACGGCCAATTGCAGGAAATTTGCAATACAGCAAGTTTCTATCACATTAACTTATTGCCGGGAGAACCACCGTAAATGATTACTGCTCCTACTACAGAAGCTCAGTGGCCCTACACTATCACATGTTTTTATGGATGGAGTTGATCATGATGGGGGAGCAATTTGCAATTTGAGATTTTCTTGAAAAGAATTGATTTGTGATAGTTCTGGTGACCATATATTTTCTGCAGCAAAATAAATGACAGCTTAGCCGCCACAAGCTGTGCATCTGCATGTGGGTGTGAAAACAAAATTTTACCTTTCTACTCTCACTAAAACTAAAATCCTCTAAATCACTTCAAATTAAATCTTTTTATCCTGAGCTGGCCACAATAGACAACAGGCTAGAGGTCCCAGAGCTGCCACACTGGGAGATGAGGAAAATAGGGAGTACCACTTTCTTGTTCTTTCAAATGGAGTTGCCATTCTTTCATAGATTTTGATGAGGCTAGGTAATATTTTCGGAAAATAAAAATGATACTTTAAAATAATAAAATATCAATTTTGTTTTAGTATGTGAAAACGTAATATGCTGACAAAATACCACTCTTGTTTCCATGGCAACCACCTGTAGCTTAAATCTTTGTAGTCTGACCGAATACTCCACACTCAGTGTGTTCCCACTACTTCTAGCAAGCACACATAGCGAAACATGCACAACGTGAACAGATTTTGAGGTCCTCTAACTTTTTTAAAGTAATTTTTTCTTTAAATAAATTTAAAACCGGTAAATTTTTACTTTTAGACCCGCACCCAGACGCACTGTTTTGGGAGCTAAACTGCTGTAATTTTGGCTGCAGAACACACATGACTACTAAAACCCTATCAAAACAATTGTTTCAAGAAAATATTAAACCTTTTGCCAATAATCAAATTATATTATTCCTTGATCCCCCCACCCCCCCCCCCCCTCAGATTTAAGTCAGGGGGGCATGTCCCACCGACACCCCCCATTTGGTTAAAGACAACAAGTCAGGTTTTACTAGGCCATGGGTCCTATTGTAATACAGTTCATATAAAGAGACCCCTACATCTCATAAACTAATAATTTGCGGTGGAAGTTTTTTAAGTGAAAATTCGTGTAAAGCAGATAAAAATGAACAACAAAAGTGCTTTAGAAAATATATCTGAATGTGAGACAGGTTCATGAGTAAAAGAAAATACCTTAGAACCCTCAGAAAGTGAAATTCTTATATATACTGAAAAGATTTCAGCGTCCCGCCTATTTCACCAAGAGCATGCTAGAATGTATTAAGATCTGCTCTTTCCCCTTCACATCCAGTGTCTATGAATTCCAAATAACTAACTAGTTTCTTCACTTCACCACATTCAAGTCCACAATCTAATATTACTTTATTAGAACACACTTTTCTCTATCTCACTTTCATCAGAAAAGTCCCCTACTTTCCTTTCTGAAAACCAAGCACAATTTTGTAAAGAATGTCATCAGTTGCATATATCATTATATATGTTCAAGACATTATTTCAATTCCACCATATATATCACACTGCCACTTATTAGATTAGAGGTAAAATGAATCCAACTACTACAGAGGCTATTGGAAAGCTGCATTCCAGTTTAAATATATATGTATGTATTGTAAAATAAAACTTGGCAAAAAATATGACCCTGTATGTCTGTGTACAAAACAAGTCCTTCAGAATCAACACCAGTCTCCTAATATTTCAGTGCACTCACAATCTAGATAAAAACAAAGTTGAAAGTTGAACTCATAATTTCCACGACCAGCACTGTAATCATGTCATAACAACACTACAAAAAGGCACAGCAGTTGAATGAGTCACATTCTTCTTTTATAGGCCCCTACTTGTTGAGCAGCCGCCTATATTCTCACCCCTGGTGAGAATAGACTTATATGACCGGTTATTCTCACCCCTGGACATCAACAGAGATGCAGATCTATATTTTTTTAATTCAATAGTTCGGCCTGCTTCAAGTGTTCCATCCCATGAGATGAAGGAGCGCTCTTACAGAATTAAAAGTCGTATTTGAGATATTAATATATGGAAAATTACGATGCAGACTTTTGAAACAGATAGATCTATTTATTATATTAATATATCATGATCATCTTAACCAGATCTTTGCTTAATTAAACCTCTAATAAACAACAAATAGAATAATAATATTGTAAAAACATTCACCTCTTCGATAAAAAATAGGACTCATTGCGCCGACGCTACTGCATGGGATGTGGAACCAGCCGCTGGCCGGACCATTCATTTTAAACACTTAACGATGGCAGGTCTTTCTGCCTGCACACAATATTTAAATTATAGTTCAAGGAATAGAGAGCATGTTATGAACGTAACGAGACATGAGCTCAAGACTAATGCTCTTGCACGACGAAGGGTTGTAAATTATTCAGACCAAATGGGCGTGGGCATTAACTCTTTTTATCCTAGTCGTACCGCCACGGACTCTTTACCCGTCCTGGGGCCGCCGCGCCGTATGAGTCGGAAGTCAGTGCGTATAGTTCAAAGTGCTATATTTCTTACATTTACTCTAAGGTTTTAAGGAAATTTGGCAGTTACGTTAGAAACTGAATGTAGTTTTTGTAAATGTATGTGGTTAGGAAATACACCAATAGCACAATGTAGATTTTGAGGTGTATTCCACCCTCGAACTTGACCCTGATTGCCGCGCCCACGACGTCCCATTGGATTTTATAGATCTAGATCTAGCCCTACCCATCGAGCACGAATTCCAGCACCGACCCCTTCACCATGATCGGAATCGCTATTAGATGAGTCTACGTCCTGTTTCTTATCATCCAAAACGGAATTTACGGCATTTATTTCAGAGCCACTTTCATCAAATTAGTATCATTCTCCCTCACAACCCAGCGCCACTTCAAAAAACTCTTCGTCGGTCATGAATGTGCATTTTCGAGACAACTTTCAAGCTTCTACACCCATCAAAAACAAAGAAACCACTGTTCATTGGAAAATTAAAATATTCAGGCAGAGCTAGCAACGCCGTATTTGCGTATTTTGGTAATTACAAGCAGAACTAGCTTCTTTGACGTGACCGTATCGCTGTTCCGAGAATACTCGTAGCCCGGACTGGTCCTCGTTACGAGTATACTCGTAGCCCGGATAAAAAGAGTTAAATCGTGTCAACTAGTTTAATAATTAAGCAATCCAAGCTCTTTTCTTCACTTTCATTTCTTTTTGTTTTCTTCTCTTGCCTTTTCTTTCCCCGTCTAGAACATTTGGAGTTTGGACCCAAAAAAGAGCCAGAGAGCCAAATGAAACTCTCTGGGCCAGACGCAACCCAAACCGGGTGAGAATACCACTTCCTTGTTGAGCTGCTAAAATAAAATCTTATTGTGAATCACATGTTTCGCAATTAGTCTTATGATGAGTCTTTTACTTTTTATTAAATAATGAAGGAGAATCATAAAAAGTAACTTCAAAATATGAAGGAAAAATTATATTTGCCTCAAAGCATCACATGATTCCGATTCAACATCTATCATTCTATGATTTATTATGAGACCTAGATAGATAGAAAGACTAAATGTCTAGTAGTCTAGTATATAATTCACGTTAATTAATGGATATGAATGGAGTTCTTTAGTACCAGGCGACTGGTCACGACTAGAACTATACCCTAGTCTCGGCCTAGACATCGTCTCAAATATTAAAAGTTTAGGCCTCCTAACTCAAATCAGTAACAGTCTCGTAAAGGACCAAACCAAAATTAAATAGAATCTAGTTGCTCTTACTCCTTTCTTCGTTATATTCTGAAAGCAGAACCAAATATTATAATATAAAATCACGATAATTATCATAGCTATCTAGATCTAGATCTAGATCTAGATTCTATTCTAGATCTAAATTCTATTATCTTTCTAAATTCTAAATCTAAATCTAGATCTAGAATCTAGATCTAGATCTAGATTCTATTTCACTCGACATTTGATTTGAATATCAATTTATTTTTAAGATAAAACTTCCGTTTTACTCTACCTTGGCCTTGACTGAACTTGACATTATAATTATAACCATAAACTAAACATAAACTAGAGATCTAGAGAAATCTAGAATTCTATTTCGATGAGTCAACACTTTTTGATAATAGATCCATCAATCTAGACAACAAACTCCGACTTTCTGAGCGAAACAATCTAGACTAGATCTAACACAGAACATGTTTTCTCAGATTCAAACACTTCAACGTCAGTCCACCCCTTTTCAAACCTCATCAGTGATGATCAGTCATCACATTCTCATGTTGCCAAATATTGCTACTATCATGTTTACAATAACAATTTCTCTGTGGAGGAATCCAACCATTTTTTAAAAAGTATTAACCGGTGATTTTATATCTCTTATAAAACATATAAAAATCCGACCCTCCTTATTTATGGCACAGACTTTTGCATGTCCATGATTCAATTGCATCACGATAATTCGGTGACAAATGAATTATAATCATGAACTGCAGTCCGAAATCCGAGGGGGACTGGCGACAAACCAACAGCATCAGTAGCACCATAAAAACAGAACACACCGGCACAGTATAACACTTAACAAAAGAATCAAATCTTTAAAAAATTTCATTACCATGATTCTTCCTTTTTAAGACTTTGTTTTAGATAGTCCTGAAGTTGATTTTTCTGCGTTTCCAAGTCCGGTGGCCCACCTTCCGCCATTTTGAGATTTCTAAACCGGAAGTTGCGTAAAATAGCCAGGAATTCTTTTAATGTGAGAGGGTTTTTTTTATTTTTTTAATTTTTTTTTACAAATTTAGTTCGCGATTCTAAATTATATCTAAATGTTCACCACAAAATGTCTAGGCCCCTATCTGTCTTCGGACAATGAGCCAAAAATTGGCATTCCGTCTGAACCTTTGCTTTCGAAAAATGCAATAGTTATGGCGCTTTGATTTTATTTTTATTTCCTTCATTAGCAACCTGTTATAAATATAAAGGCAGGTCCAACTTCTTCCCAAGTCCCTGTGCAGTTATTCCCGTTTTCGCTAGGCTATGTTGCTTGGCAGTTTAACTCATAAATTATTCAACTCACTCCCCGATTTTCCACAGATGAAATGTTCTGAATGGGGTTGTTTTGCTTTGTGCTGCGTTTGTTATAAGGATGACAACTTAAGCTGTTGACGAAGGTTAGTGAAGCGTTGTACGGACACGCATAATACTAAGAATTATGATACATAATTAACGTGGGGGAGATAGTTAATTTAATTAATATGCGAAATTGAATGGCTGTAAAGCGAGCGGCCTTTCCTCAAAACCCTGCACTGCAAAAGAAGAAAAAAGGCTAGGCTATTATTATTAGCTCTATGCGCTCTGCGTTTTCTTGCTATTCTGTATTTAGGTTAGTGTTATTGTAAGGTGTTTGGTATACGCCTATATATTCTCATTTTCCCATTCTTAATAATTAACCACATTGACGGCAAAAATAAGCCCTATGTTTGTTCTTTGGGGTTTTTTTTTTTTAATTTAACAGGAAAGAAAGGTGAAAAAGGGGAGGGGGGCGTAAACGTAAGCTGCCGAAAGAAAGGAGTAAGGATAGGAAGGTCTTGTGTGTGGTGTTTCTAAAAGTGTCGGAGCGAGATAGAAGAAGAAGTACTGTCGAGCGGGGGTGACAGTGACGTCATGACATACCGGCACATAGGTGACTCATGCTTGCCTAGTCTATCTATGTGGGATTGTACACTCGTCCTTTTATGGCGCTCCGGGAGCGAGCGAGGGGCGGGCGAACCACGCTTTTCCCCGACCTTCAAAATAGGAGTGGAGAGAGCGCTTTTGTTGCTAGTTCGTGGATTAACTTAGAGAGATCGTTAAAAGGTTTTGGGCCCTTGACGACGCTGGCGAAGAGATAAGGAGGCCAGGCATCAGCAGTAACATCACTGACAAGTGTAGGCCTAGTTCTTTGTGGTAGCCTTACGTAGCAAACTCATGAAACAATGATTTTTATTTTGATTTTTTTTTTGTTGATTTTTTTTATTTTGGGGGGGGGGTAGCCTACTGAAATGCGGAACTGTTTAATTAAAGGTAGAATAAGATAATTGAAGAGTGCGGTAATACTGAGCAAAACAAAACATACGTATAGCAACCTAGACTCGTGTAACATTAGCAGCAGCAGCACCGATCAGGCATGTCGCGGCATACATCTTATTATTATGTATTATTTTCATACACAAAGGCCAAACACAAATCTGATGCCATGCTTATATATTGGCATACATATTATGTATTAATTCATACGCAAAGAGCAAACACAAGTTTGATGTCATACTTATTGTAGCATACATATTATGTATTAATTCATACGCAAAGAACAAACACAAATTTGATGTCATACGTATATGGTAGGCTACGCATGTTGTTGTCTGCCTTTCTGAATTTTCAGATAAAGGAACAGAACTGAAACATCTGTGTAGATCTATATAACAAAGCTATGCTCTTTTTTAAAATCTTTTTTTCAAGTTGCACAAAACAACGCGTGCTTCGAGCGACGTCGAACGACCACAGGATATATGTATCCCCAAAGAGTTAACAATATTGTCGCGACCTCAGGACTTTCTTGTCCTATCTCCATTTTTGTTAACGTTGAAAATGAAACTTCTTCTTAAACTCACCCTTTGTTTTGAACTGTTCTCACTGTTATTAAAAATTTAGATGCGACAAGAAAGCACTGAGGCCGCGATGTGACGTCAGTTTAGGCAGTTGTATCAAAGATCGTGTAGTAGAGAATCTTTGCTTGTATTTCTCAAGAACGTCCAGTTATTCTGAGTTACTCTGGTGTTCCTACATACGTCATTTTCTCGCCACAGAAGCCACTCCAGTCTGCCTCTTGGCTTGTGTGTTTTAGTAAGGTTTTACGGTGCTCGCAACTGCATATTAAGGTCATTATTATGAGCGCCAAGGGGTGGATGTCAGCAGAAAAGTCCAAACGGGGAATCAGGCTTACTCTGCTCACTGCTCACCTCTCTAACCTCAACAGTACAGGCGTTGACCCAGACCTCAGAAACTGCAGCAATTGTAAACTTTTCTTCTTCTTTCTTTTATCCGCTGCTTATATACCATTTTGGGCCTCGCGGAACTGTAAACAGATCTATGTAATTGTAACTGTTTTTCGCCCCGCCGACACGTGCTTTTGACAATGACAATGACAATCTTTATTCATCTCGCAGGGAGAAATTTGTCTTGGTCGTTAACAATGGCAGTAGACGTTACAAAAGTTAGACTTAAAGGTGCACTCACGCAAACGCACAACAAGACAGGACATTATGCCAAGTAAATA